AGAAGAAAACTCTTAAACGTGCTTAGATGACATCCACAGGTTGAAGTATCCGAAAATAAATGAGTTCGAAATGTCAGTGGACCACAGCAAATAAAATTCCAAGGGGCGCCAATAAAAAGTCTTATAGATAAAAATGTTAATTATTGTTGATGATTTCGTGTATGGGATGAAGAAGGCAATAAGAATAAATCAAACGCGTCGTTGCTCTAAGTTTGTCATCGACAGGAAGTGAATTACGTGTCTTCTTGTAGCAAAAAATACCGATAACAAAAAGAGCTTCATCGTATAAATAATGATATAAGGCCTACTACCACGCGATAGGGGCGACATCAAATAAATGCTATAAATAATAGTGATAGATCGGCCGATATGGGTTAACCTAGGTTCTGATCAGATTGGAAAGAGGATTGATAGGCAAACACAAGTAAAAGGATAAACAAACAGATATACAGACAGACATGCGTGATACAGTGTAGACCTAACTATTAAGACCGTATAATAATATTAATTAGACACAACTTTTTTTTATATATTAAATAGGCCTCTGCCTTGATGGAGATATGGTAAATAATGTTGTCTTATGCCTAATAAAGAATCTGATAGAAATAATAGATGGGGAAGGAGAAACCAGTTAACAATTTTGGTAGACTGTCTCCCGCGGGCATGACTAGAAAGGTGCATAAAAAATAGCAGACGATCTGACACTATCTCCATAAACCACTACACCGAGAACCCATTACTGAGTCTAAAACCTAAATTTCACGCCACTTAAATTTATAACCTTGTATAAATAAAGCTATGCGCGTGTAAAACAATTTGTTTATTTAAAAAATTCTACGACGAATCCTCTGTGGATTGGGGTGCATTATGCAGAACTCTATTGGGTCATGTAAGAACACTTGACCTAGGCCGGGTGAGTGAAGGTTTTGACAGAAAGTCAGGGCGAGTTATGTACGTCTCTTGCCGTAAAAATTAAGTCTGTTTAGCGGGAAGATTGATAGTATTAGTCCTATGATACACTTTAGGACTAGGGAGATAAATGATTAAGGGTCACGCAAAAAGCTCGTTTACTCTAGGTTTACTCAAACCAAGAGGATGAACAACACTCTGCATCATAACTCACAAAACCCATAAAGTACTTTCAGTTTCTGTTCGGCAGTAAAAGTTTCCCAGGAATCAAAGTAAAGTTTTGACACTCTAGCATCAGTTAAATTTCATTTTTCAAAAATGCTTTATGTAGACATAAGCCTATTCGCGGTTGCTATAGACTTACCCAGACCTACATGAACAAAAAACAAACAAAACTGCAGACATGTAGATATATTGTTCCACATACACATAATAATGAATTGATAAATACATAGGCCTAATTAGGAATCGAGGAATTGAAGTTTCAATGATTGCTCTTTATGAGTTGAGTGGAAAGCAAAAGAGGAGCAGAAAGGCCATAGCTCCTGACTTATGGACGATGTGGATTACAGGGTACCGGTATATGAAAGATTTGTCAGGATGGCAGAGAACAGGAGGTGGACAGCCAAACTGCCAGGAGCAAAATGATAGATAGGCCTACGCCTATCCAATAACAGGTACCCTTCAAACAATTAATGTTAAATAAGAAACTGGAAATTAATGTTATATGCTTACATTATGATTGTTTTTTGCCTTTCAAACTTGAAATATTAGATCAAAATATCTGATGAAGTGCCACTTCCACCAACTATAGATGGAAACAAGGGGATTTGTCAGGTATACAGTAGTACACTACAGTAATAAGTAGTATCAGAATTAATCATATCAATATTTGATCAACAGCGTTTAATAGATTACGTCTGCACCTTGAGTGATATTTTCCTTATTTCTAGACTAACATAATTATCAAAAAGTGGATAATGATAACAATCATTACGAAAAATAGTAAATATAGTAAATATGCTATACAGTGCTATAAGGGTGATTTAAATTATTAACACTTTTATGTAAGTTTAGACATGGCATTACTCGCTACATGAGGCATGGTATGATGTCTTCTATTATCGTTTAAAATACCCACTAGCGTCTTGCATACAATTCTAATACGATAAATTTGTATTTACTTTTTTAGTTTATATCCGACGAATTGACTTAGTGGACAATAGCCCTGAACTTCGTAAGCTTAGGCCAACTGTCAACAACATGGAGATCGATAATAGCTGAGGAAGTATCGGGCGACATTACGTCTCACGACACCCTACAGCTTTTCATTCGAAGACGGCTAAACCCCAGCCTGGGTGCTCCCCTTTTATGTGGGTGTATTGGAGCAAGTGATCGGCCTTGTTTGCAACAATTACTTGCTTGCTGAACACGGACGGTTCAGTCACCGGTTTCGACTAACATGCCCCTAAGATATTTGGTAAATCTCAAGAATATGTTATACATGTAAACACATTTCTATTCTTTATGATTGAAACAATTTCTACGCACGGATTATTAAAAGCCATGGCTAAATCACTAGATTGTACTTTACTTTTATAAGGCCTATGACCCAAGTTTGTGATGCCTGTTTCATAGGCCCAAAGGTTAGGTACGGTATCAATCGGCCCACGAACTGGGAAATCCGGTTATAAGATTTGCCAACATAGTCGATCGTTACCAACGGTTCTATTTTCTGAGCCTACAGTACTACGTCGACGACCAACATTATTGTAGGAGAAATTCAGTTTATAGAGAGTGATGATGGATGGGTCCGAATATTTTATGTTTAAAGAACTAAGACAGTGTCTAGTAACAGAAAATGGTGAAATAATTCTGTACCACGACACAACTTATATTGTTTTATAAATACTTTTGTTTTTAGAAAAAATAATCTAAAAAAGTTTTTTTAATGAAATGATTACAGATGCAATTGCCGATTGCAGTTCCATACTGGAACGACATATGCAGAATGAATAATTATTGAATCCTACAATGCCATTAGATACAAAAATGTTACCATAACACAGGACTACCAATTAAATATTGTTGAATTGTTGATATAATATCGTTGTTTGCTAAGTTTAATCCTACGTTTTCTTTTTCTTCTCTCTCCATGTCTCTAACGAAAAGCCACCAAGATCCCCTTGGGAACGATTTCAAATTATGATTATAAATCTTAAATGTGATCCCTTTAAATTCCACTTTTTCTATTCATATCGACCTAACGTAGGTTACCCAGGCTTGTGTTCACATCATGGGTGCATTTGTCACCTCAGGCCATGTGACGGGTTGGAGTGACAAGTGACAAGACATGGAACACGGCACTTGACACAGTTTTGATGTTCACCAGTTGTTGCGTTAAGAGTGATAGTACGGTAGAGGAAAGCTAAAGTGTGTGGCTCTGTCTACGGAAATCTTGGTTAATCCCGTTGATGTTCTGTGCTTGGTGAACCACCAGAAAAAGCCACAGATAGTGACTGTCATCTCTAGATTCCGGAACTCAAATTCGGAAGTATATACTGATAACTTATTATTAGCTAAGTACGGTACTTAAGTAGGGGTGGGATAACATTTTTTTTTCTGAACCATCGGCGTTAACTACACACATCATGTAGTCGGTCTATAATTTACATTAATCTGAATGATGCAAAACTGTACTGGTATATAATTGTGTCAAATATTTTTGAATCATAAGGTAGAAGTTTGTTTAGACCTTTTAAGAAATACTAAAGCTACGCGACGTTCTTGTTCTTTTTAGTTGAATTATTGGTGTACAATGGTGTTAGTGACCTCCGACAGAGTTTATTCCAAACGCAAATACAAGTTTAATTAGACTTGGGATTCTTTGACGGATCCATATTCTTTTACCATGTCAGTAATACAGCTGAGAAACGTCGTCTAGACATCCCTGGCTCCAGAGCAATTTCTTCCATGGGCCATCAACCAAAAAATTGCATCCTTTTTAACAATTTCTGGATTGGTCTTCAGTTAAGTTTAAGACAATGTTAATAGTGTGTACCGCCTCAGGCGCTCCAACAATATCACCATAAAATCGTGTTGGTTTTATTCACTAGCTACAAATCACACTCAATAGAACCATTCCGGTATCCGATTTTGCACAATTCAACTGTTGGTGTTCACAACTTACTGTATTATGCCGCCTTAGGAAAATATAGACAGATTCTTTCAAAATACATGCTTGATGAAGCGTATTACGGGCATTTATTTTCTTAGGCTGATTATTTTGTTCAGGACTGTGACTGAATGGACACCCTTCGTGTACTCACAACTGTACTTGTTCATGACAGTCTTTGTAACAAGATAAATTTTATAGCCAAACCTGGTATTAGGTGTCTGTATGTATTGTTATATTTTAGGAGAAACATGAAAATCCCAGAGTCAATGCGACATCTGGGGGTGTCCACTTTCAAAGAAGTCGATATCACGATACGTGACACTATATGTGTTCCCCGTCCACGTGTCAGTGTTGTGATTATTGCACTTGCAAATGGAACAGTGCCACTAATATTAATATGAACATCAAGTGTGAGTAGACGGTCAAGTCTCTGTCCCGTGTGACTGGACAGCGACATTGTCATGTATGAATGAACTGTGACTGTTTCGGTGAGTTATGTGAACGGACCGTGAGAGAATCTGAACTTTATTTGGTAACTTGATATTCATTTCCTCGATGAATCGATAGACACAAATGCTAAATAAAGGGTAAAAAGGAAGATGGTGAAGAATTAAAGGAAAGCAGTGGAACACAAGAATGGAAATCATGCCATTTCACCTCGGTATAGGCAAAACCAGCTGCACTGATTTCTACTTGCTCAGACTAAATATCTTTAACTTCAATTTAGCCCATTGGTTTAATATCTCGCTATTTAATAAATACGGTACCGTACATATACTAGTTCAAATATTTTATATTATGTATTTCATACATACATAAAACGTTTGAACTAGTATAATTTTATGAAACATGATATGCAGCAGAGAAAATTTACTGTAGATAAAAGCAAGATAATAAATATAAATGTATCTACCTTGATGGTAATCTAGAGTTGTATCCATGCCCTTTCTTTTCCGGGGTCGCCCTTTATGCACTGGTCCCATTCCATTGTAATACGGCGATAAAGTGTTCGTGGAATGGTTCGGGAGAGGGTCATTTGTATAGGGGATCAACCCTAGGGTTCGTTCTCCGTGAAGCATAGTTTCATAATGCATTCGACAGTATACTAGGCAGTCTTTCATGCCGAAATGTTCACCGGTTGTCAGCGTCCTATTGCATAAAGCACATGAGAAACAGGCTAAGTGGTAGACAAGGTCACGGGCCCGCATCACCATTTCGCCCGACGGTATCCCCATATTACATCGGCTGCACCTCTTCGAAGAAAATCTCCTGATGGATAAATATTAAAACAAAATAAAGTTAGCAAAGGGGGTACATTGAATAATAACGGTAGAACAACACAATGAAACCACATCTTATACAGGGGACTAACGTAAAATAGCGATAACTATCATAGAGCAATGGCTATAGTATTTAAAATATAATTATTACTTATTTTGATAGAGTATGCCCATTCAGGCCAATATTATTGTAAGCATTATCTCCTCACCGTGTGACTCGGTGCCTAGGCATATCGAGGTCAAGGTCTATATGCGTTTGATTTGTGTTGGCTATACAGTAATTAAGAAAAAAGAAATAAGGAGAAGAAATTGTTGATAAGTACAGTATTTTTTCAACAAAAAAAAATCGCTTTTGCTTAAAAAACTTCAAAGGGAAAAGTGTAGGCCTATCTCAAAAAAAAAACAAAAAAACCAAACAAAAACCACGCGATCACTGATGTTCGTCGGTACGGTACCATGGAGGAACTAATTTATTTTCTCCGATAATAGGCATGGCATGGATTTGAGTAACCACAGAGATTGTATATAGGCCTAATATACTAATAATAGCCTAATAATAATAATAATAATAATAATAATAATAATAATAATAATAATAATAATAATAATAATAATAATAATAATAATAATAATACGAACTTAGTAATTCGCCAATTCCAAAGAACAATGATCAAAGGCGCAGTGTACGATAAAACTAGTTGTTAAATAAATAAATTATTTTTAGGCCTATGAGGAATTGATTTTGCTATATTAATTGTTTCAGACATCATTTTTTGGCGTATTTCTTTCAAACTCCCTTAACATCAAGCTGTAGGGCATTATGAGTTTAACTGTAGTGTAACAAAAGTTTTAATGACGTAAAATGGAGGTCATTGCTGGTAAACTGGCGATTGACAAATCGACGAACAAATTTACAATTAACTTTTGTTGAACTCATGAAGCAGGTGCAGGAGAGGATGATTCCCCGACGAGGAGCCCATTCAATCTGACGCGTATTGCTAGGGACCCCAGGTTAACATGATGTTAACATAAAATGTTATTGGCTCTCAAAGAGAGAATTGTTTTTAGCTGACAAGTCAGTGAGCAACAACAATACCGCCCATATAAATCACATAGACTGTCATAGAGAATTAAACTCATGTATTACGATTTGTGTAGGCCGTGGTAACATTCAGCCCGACAAACCCGAGCCCGGTGCTTGACGGCTATTGGCCGCTGCATACGACAGACACCTGTAGGCCTACGGCTCACAACGTTTAGCCAGATGCGACCTAGCGACGGGGTGGAGTGTAAGGGGCATGTGAACAATAAATAATGCAACTCATCTTGTTCCACACACAAAGCATAACGTTCATTATTTCGCGGATACTATTTTAGTACCTGTGATTATTTGTACACACGACGGTCCGGCATTTAAGATAAAATCTCAATAGGTAACTGACCAGCAGATGTTTCGATAGCTAGTTTTGTTCTCATAAAATAATAATAATCATGTGAAATATGACTTCGCGTGAATAATTTGAAAAGAAGTATATTATATTGCACCGTCTGACGAAATGAGAAATGGTGGTATTTATGATGGACCAATTAGACAGTTAAGTTGAATCTGGCCAACTTTGAAAATATCGTATCGTGCAAGAGACGTATCGTGTCAAACTTAGCGACGGGGCTGGTGTTCGTGAGACAGTTTCATATTTATATTAACACACATTATATCTTCAAACTTTAGCCCGACAGACGAAAGATTTTAAACAGTTTAGCAAAATCAAATGTTACGCAAGTATAATGGCGACGAGATGAAAGTAATAAACTATACGTATGTCTGTTGTGAACCAATTTACATCTCCCTGATTATGCTGTACCTATAATAATGCTCGGTTGATCAGATCCCCTAACAAACATTAGGCATATAGTTGCTTTTAAAGAAGATATATGGCTCGGTAATTGTTGGGGGTAGGTCAATACAAATCATTGTTTGTGTGGTCTGTAAAGAAATTAACGCGCACGAAGGCCACTAAAACGATCTAATACTATTTTTATGAGTCCATTGAGTCGGTCAAAACGGTGACCATTGATGGACAAGCGGTTAATATAAAGAGCACATCGGTATGTAACTTACCCGTGTTCATGACAATCTAACGACTCGCGCTAATCAGTTCACAACTGCTAACGTTTAAATGTGTTCGTATCGATATATTAACAACAATAACAATAGAAATGATTTTTCATTCTATTGTTTATATATTAATGGAATAAATAATGTATACATACATTTAAATAATAATAATAATAATAACAATAATAATAATATAGCCCTATACTTGCCCCCAATAATAATATTGACGATGATGATCGATGATGATCTTATATAACATTATGAGGATGATGACGTTTAAATATGCTTACAAAATGAATTTTTGGGAAGGTTTTAAATTTGCTTGATAATGATTCTTATAGGCCTTGATAGGCCTAATATGTATGTATGATGATGACGATGAGGATGATCATAATGATGATGATGATAATTAGTTTGATGATGATAATGTTTAACTATTCTTACAACGTGAATTTTGGGCAGGATTTGAAAATTCGTTTTTTATTGTTAGTCCATTTGTTTTCTAGTTTTACCATTTTACTGACCTCAGCCCCACCATGGCTGGGGCTGAGGCTGTCTCTTATACACATCTAGATGTGTATAAGAGACAGCGCCTATGGTTCCGGTGGTGGAACAAGTCTTCTCTGATAAGGACTCTAAACCGTAGGTCCAGTGTACACCTGTCTCTTATACACATCTAGATGTGTATAAGAGACAGTTACCAAACTGAGGAATAATTACCTGTAATAATCTTCTTTACAATATATGTTGCCGTCACGCGCAAAACAGGTGAGTTGGTCGTCTAGCCTTAGTTTACACTCTGTGCACCGTAAGCATTCCGTATGCCACTGTTTGTCGGCGGCAAGGAGGTAGTACCGGTCCGTGATGCGACCGCGGCAACCAGCGCACTCACTGCAAGGTTTGTTGTCGATATTCAAAATAGGCATTGTCTATAAGATAAGAAAGTAAGCAAAATGTTCTTTTATATTATTATAAACGTATAATGTTATCTGAAAATAAATTGTATTTTCAAAATCATTAACGATACCAGAATCTGTAGGCATAACAGTTCAGTGTAGGAACCCATCCAGTGAAAAAAGTACCGTAACAATTACATACAAATCTGTGATTTTGATTGTAGGCCTACGGTTGTGGTTTTCTGGTTGGCTGGTTATTTAGCAGATTGATTGATTGGCTGATTGATTGATTGATTTTTGATAAAATTATTGGTTGATTTAATGATTGCCATTTCAAAGTAATTGTCAATAATAGTAGAAAAGGTATGTGGTGCAATGAATTGGATACATGTAAATATTGTAAATGAGCGGAAACATGTATAGCAGTAGACAATTGTATATTTCTGAAAACAAATCTGACCCAACTCTTATTGATAATATCACAATGTTGTGATTTTATTAACTGCGAAAGGTGTCTGCAAATTGTGAGAAAACATTACCAATTTCGTTACGATCAGATCGTATACAATTAGATTATACTTCTCGAGATTATGTTGTAAGTATATTATTTTGACAGCCTTTAGGCCTATATAATATAATTCACATCGGTATCGGCGGACAGATATTCGTTGGGCATGCGTAGCTGTGTCAACAATAACGTCAGCTGCAGCACACCTGAGGGTGCATTTGGAGGCCCATGTCACCCAAAGCGACTTAACTGAAGATATTCAAGTATATGAATTGAGTCGAGAATCGGACAGGAAAATAGTGATTCCCGGAGTTTGGCTGTATGTTACCAGGTGTATTGCTAATTCATACCACAACATACAAGGAGCTCGAGGTGAATTTTAAACTCGGCAAAAATAAAACGATTTAATGGAGGCCTTTTGTTTTAAGGCGGCACCGATGTCCATCAACCTATGGCCAACGATGGCCACCGCCGCTGTCCACCGACGTCACGACACAAACGCAATCGCATCTGAACCACGAATATTTTTTTTTAATTTTTATTTTTGGGTTATTTTGCCTTGTTCTACATCTTTTGTGAAAGTGTTCAGATCTTTCTGAATAAAATCAAATCAAACTAAACAATGCATGGAAATGACTAAAGCTATAATCTGTTTCTGTTGTGAACAATTTTCGTTACACCTTGTATAATGAAGTATAAAAGTACAAGCACCATAAACAAGGGGATGTTTGGCCGACCTCACCCAGTGATCTTTGCGGAGGATACAACTGTTACAGTGAAGTAAGAGGATGCTTGGCTTACATGTGACTGTTGAAGATGATACAACAGTTACAATGTAAAGAACCTTCAATTGTATTTACTATCATTTGATGTTTCCGTTCGGCTAATATTTTCTGCACTCTCCCAGCCAAACATTGAATATTAGTACAGCCACGTCCTTGCTGGCGATTATTTGAACACAAAACTCCTCCTTCTAACGTTCAGAACAATATAGACAAGTCAACCACATGCTGGGTCCAGGGAGAAGTGAAGTACTTGGCATTGGCCAGTCTTAGTGTGTTTGTTCTAATCTCTTCACTCGAAACATGAAGTACCCTAATCCTCCTCTGTACCCTAAAAAAAAAATCCGAATTCTTCTCAGGTAGGCCAGGTAGACCGAATAATATAATGATAACTGCAGATTTAACGATAACAGGGTCACTATCTTGTATCGTACGGTGCAGATTACATCTTACTTAAGACCAAGCACCACCTATATAACAGCGACTTTAAACACATAGTACAGAGATGGTCGGATTGGTCAAAATCATTCATATGTAGGAGGCCTCATCTCAATTCTCGATATCTGTTGGCCCGAAATCAGCACCATATCCTAGTCCAGACTGTCAAATTTTATTTGATGAAAACATGTGACATGCCTAAATATGGTCATGATGACATCATAATTATGCCCATATATAGGTATTACTCTTACAGTATGTGCATACGACAGCTGTCAAAGAATGTTTGATCACATTGGATAGTGCGGACAAAGCCTAAGTTAAAATACAGCCTGTCTGTCGCAAGCAGGTTGGCGGAAACTTGTTCACTTGCTAATAGGCCATGTATAAAGTTGAGATTGTTGATATCAGAGAAAAAATGTAAAACGGGTTGTATTATTGAATAAACATACAAATATATAAATGAGCACGAACAGGCTCTAACAATGTCGTAACAATATCAATATTCACTTAACCAGCTCTGAATTAGCCTACGCCTCGGGCATTATAATAGTGATCGTTTTCTTAGGCCAATTCTTTGAGAGGATCAAGTCAGGTTGGCGCACGGCAGGGTGCAGTGATTGTTTTGTTTACCCATCTAAAAGAATTCAATTTGATTTGAATACTGTGGAAGTTTCTAAACTAAACAATAAAGTCTTGAAAACAACGCTATTTCTAAATTCATTCATTAAATGTACTTGGACGAATTGAAATTATCCATGTATATACATACATACATACATACATACACTATGCATACTATACTATATACATTATATATATATATATAGGCATATATATATCTATATATATATATAGATTATATATACAGTAGTACATATATATAGGCATACTGTATAAGGTACCGTATGGTAATGGTAATGGTTGGAGAATTATCCTATATACAGTACCGTATATATATTTGTGTATATGATATTAACGATGATATAATATGATATAATAACATAACTTACCGGTAGTTAAATATACATTAATTTAAAACAAATTGGTGGTGGCAATATCACCAATAATAATTCCACAGATAAAAATAAACAGCATAAGAAAAATGTTCGATGGGGATCACTTCGCTGCATTGATTTATCTCGTCTAGAGACCAAACCAGCACAATCATGATTAGAACGTTTTTTAGTGGCCAAAACACTTAACAACAAGCACATCCGCCAACAGTTTTAAGAGTCCCTTTTTTCTAACACACTTGTTGTCTTTATAAAGCAGTCCAGAGCTTAGAATAACATGGTGTAAATACCGTAACTAAATAAGAATGTCACGGTGACATGGGCTTATGATTAGGATGTCTTCACCCTGACCTGTCGTTGTCACGTGAACAAAAGACGAGAACAATACACATTAATTAAAGAGTGCATGCTAAATGCTCTATATATAAGTTCTACTTCAGTGAAAACATGGAAAATACGAATAAAATTTAAAAAGATTGTGGACATAATAATAATAATTCATTACGCGGTTAAAAGATATACTTTTCCTCATTTCGTGACCAAAAAGTTGTACCCTTGGGGCGTCCCAAAGGAGGGGTTCTGCTGTATTTATATTCTTTCAAGTGTTGTGACCGTCGTTATTCTTCCAACCTTAGTCAGCCAATGTCATTCTTTTAGATGGACGATGTAAATGTAACAATAAGTAGGCCTAACAACAAGAATCTTAAAACTAAATTACAATTAGTGACTCATCTGTATACTATAGGCCTAGATAGTGATAAAAAAGAAAAGTTATAAAAAGAAGAGCAATAAAAACGATCGAGTAAGAGAGGAGTTTTTGCTGAATGTCTAAACTTTATTTGCCGAGGCGACACTGTCAATGCCAGTTCGCGCCAAGCGTAATCCCTCTATCCGGATAGCTGAAGGCTAGCTGGATACTTGCTGTAGTTTTGTTGTGATGACGTATGAACAGTAAATATCCTCAATGTTCTGCCCCCATTAAATACTGTATCCTGGCTTCAGCTCAGATTTCTGTTACACTTCTGACTTTAAATAGGGGCCTATATTCTTCCTAACATAGCGTTTCATTTTATCCCTTTTCTTGTTTTATTCCCATGAATATTAATTGTTTTCTTAAATTCATTGCAATAGGCCTATTTGCATATTGATCTTACATATTTATAATTAAACAGATTTTTTATAATCACTATTAATTGCTTTAATAATTTTAATTATTAGTCTCTTCATAATTTATTTTTATGCCTATAACTATTGGTTATTTGGTGACATGCAACTCTTCATAATAATACTTAGGAATAGGCCTAATGATTCTGGGTCAATAACGAAACTTTATATTTATTCAACATTATATGCATTTGGAAGTTCAACAAAATGAATTAAATGTATACAGTCCTAAATAAATAATTGATGATGATACAGCCATATTTTAGCTTACAATAATCTTAAGTAATATAACTTTTTTTTAATGATTACTTATTTCAAACTGATTAACAAAAATACATCCCAATGTACAGTAACATAATAAAAGCCTATGTATGTTCCTGAATTCCTGATGTATGAAGTAAAAGAAATTTAATAGTTTACTGAATGTGGCAGTTATGACCCCACAAGCTCAAAGAGCTGAAAATATGAGCAGGTACTGTAGTATTATCTTACCATCCTCTACCACCCACTGTAGAACTAAAATAAAAACATAAAAATACCGCTCGAAAGACAGATTGGCATGAAGATGTAGGTATACTACATGGTAAACGATTACATATCACATAGGCTATCCTATGAAGGACTTGAGCGTATGGATACGATGCTTTTTCTATCAGAATATACCGTACAGGCTTAATACTATTATTATGATTTAGGCCTATTGCTATTGTTAATCAATTAATGTATTTATATATTTATTATGTCATTATATAAATATATATATATATATATATATGCCTACATTACTTGTATAGCGCACATATATTTGAAGAAATGCTAAAGGAGCTTTCGAAAATAGAGAACTATTATTCTTATTATTGTTTAGTCACATGATTATAATTATGATAATTATTATTATTATATTATTACAGTATTATTATTATTTATTATTATTTTTATTTATTAATTATTATTATTATTATTATTATTATTATTATTATTATTATAAAAATGTAGTATTATAGGCCTGAAATCAAAGTGACGCGGTCGTTAACATGTCAGGAAATAAACGTAGGCCTAATCAGAATTTCGATCGTCTTAGAAGTTTCGTTTTCTACGATAATAATATTGACAAATTACCCGGTTTAAAAAGTAATTGAAAGTAACATGTGAAAGATGCCGCGGTTTATATTTAGACTTATTTTTGTCGATTTTCTCTCGGTTTAGGCAACATAATCCTCTTCAAAATGTGTGAAGAGGCGTCATCGACAACCGGCATCAAACGCACAAGCTAAAGGGAAAGCGATCAGACTGCCGTCCCCCATCTAATTTAGTATGGCCTGTTCAGGAAAATAGTACAGGTATTAACATTTCCTTAACTATCATACCTTATCTTTTTGCTCTTTATTCGTGCAAAAAAAAAATCTTGATTTTCATGTGGAAAACCATATAGACTTCGGCCTAGGCCTATATAAATTCGGAGGAACGGTAGTGCGTAATATTTCTTCCTCACGAACTACTTAATCAGTACGAAACTCGTTCGGCACATTATGGTCAAAAGAAAAAGCTATCAAATCTAGGTGGGTGCCATCGCATCAACCCAGACCATCTGACACGGTTACGAAAGGCCTAAGGTGTCGTAAACTACTGGCATAAAAAAAATCAACGCTGTCCCTTGGGACGAGTAACGATAATAAAATGATCGCAAATATGATGTAGTCTAATTCAAGATATACTATAATTTAATCTTTCAATTTCCTCTGCAATACACTGCTCGTTAAACTTGTGGATTTAAGATAATCAAGTAAAATAAATGGCGGATGATCAGGTTAAGCTTGATATACAGCCTAAACTAAAAGTATGCTTGCTTTCAAAACGGTTACAAAGAGATCTAATTTATTATTTATTTGTTCTGTAATCAGAATGGTTTGCTCAGTTACACATTTCTGTTCTCCCAAGGGTCCTATACATGCCTACTGTTATTAGGATGTGATGTGAGTTAATTGGTAATATACACACAACCCCATCTCGAGATGACTATGACAACTCTTCCGATAGATAGTTTTTTTTTTAGGTAGGCCTGTTATCAGTCTTAATTGACTGACATAAAACCATAAAAACTAACGGGGTTTGGACTAGAGAAAGAGATCAAATTGCTCTGTGTACTCATTGGCTAATATAGAACCAAATTGACAGAACTTAAACAGAGATTAATGCCAATTATGCTCTACACTGGATTTGGATTTCCAATATAGGGTTCTTCTGGTGGAATATATAGGCCTACCAAGTTACCGTACCACTCCCTAAATAAATTTCGTAACATACTTCAAAGGATTACATAAAGCATAAACATCAATATAATACTAACTAAATTTTAATCCGAATAACAGACATATGATAGACACCCTCCTCTAGAAGGGGCACTGCTCTCGGATACAAGTCGTCAAAAGCGTAAGCTTTGCAGGAAGAAATTTTATCTTCATCGGAAATAAACTTTACTTCTGTTTACGACTAGATTGGATTATTTATCCAAAGAGATATCACACCTCGTACCCATATGATCATATTTTGATGGCTAAAATGGACAGAATCACGAAGGTTAAAGTGATTCGATCCATAGTTATTATCATATTTAGTGGCTCGTTATATCATTTTTAAATATTTGTTTCTATTAAATCGTTACTGTACCGACATTTGTTTTTAACATATAAACATAATATTTGTTCAAGAATTAGCCTATATGCCGTACATCGATTTAAAGAGATGGACCCACTAAATCGTGAAAAACACAGAACTGATTTCATGTTCTTAAAAATAAAAACCAAGCCCGAGAAACAACAGGCAATTTTTTGATAGGCCAAATACAGTAGGTCTACTTTATGAGAGGACAATGATATTTATAATAGTCAGATGCACTTCAATGCCCATGCCTTGTTCACGATTAAGAATTTAGATATAGGCCTAATACATCCCTGATACTAATACTACTCTAGGGACGTTTTAGTAAGATCAGTGATTTTATAATACTGTAGTTTTATATGTACAATTCATACCAACTATACGCTTTATTTTGGATTTAGGAGAGGTAGAAAATGCTAATAATATGACGATTCATTAATAGCTTACCCTGAGTATTTTTCGATGAAGTATTAAGAAAAATTATAAATTCTACAGTAAGTGTCGTAAATAAACACAGTAACTTAACTACGATATAACCTACGACTGTTAAGACCATGTAAGGTTTGTTGTTAACTCATCGCCATTATCGTCAAGGTAATATCCACACCGCTCTACATAAAACTGGTCATTAAAATAAACATCCTCGGGAAATATATAGAACCAAGAAAAGAACTAGACATGTTTAAGACTCCACAAATGTTCGGTTTAATTTTATAGTCGCATCTAACTCGGGACGGGACTTCTATTTATTCTGAAGGTCGGGCTAACGTTCAAAATGTTTCCGATATGAAAACCAAAATATATCGCTGGACTGGAAACCTACTTCACTAAAAATAAATAACCCTAACTTACCAGTAAGAAGTTCATCTCTGGGGTTTCACACACATAGATGAGTCGATAGTTTAAGAATTATACTGTAAAACAGGCTAGTGTTGTTTTCAAGCCTCTCCAACGAATGACAACATTGAGGTCTGACGAAGTTTATTTTAAAGGCCTACAATCTCTAAAGTCAGAGGCACATTAATTGACATTAGCTTCAAGTGCTTCACCAAACTTTAAAATGACCGTAATGCCACCAACATTTAACGCAAATCAACCTATAATATAAAACTATCATAAACACTTATGTTTAATGAATTCGAATTGATCTCTCGCGATGAGAACGGCTACAAGGTCTTCGTTTATATAGATAGTTATGAACCTTGATTAATTCAAATGGTCTGGCTAGGTTTCTAAAGTGCTCTTATGTTATATAAGGATAGCCTTCATAATTAACTTACTACGTTTTTGCCTTTAAAATGCATCAAGTCCTTATTCAGTATAAATGATGGCATGATTGCTAGGTAAACCTGAATGAGACCTAATGTCTTGAACCAGATGAGGTTATATTGGATCAGCTCCCGATATAGTATTGTGTGATTATCCTATTAGATGCTATTAAAATATTTATATGCCTTTTTCAGTAAATCATACAACATAATTGATTAATTATTATAATTTGGTTTATAGTTATAATAATAGTATTGAGTAGGCCTATCTTTTGTACCATTTTATGCCTATTTATTTTGTGATGTGAGTGTATGATCTGATGCGGTATACACATTACCAGGAATAGACCTAGTAACAACAATAATTCCAGGCTACATGTTTAGCTTCTCAACAAGAAACCCAATAGGCCTAAAAGTTTATTGTCACGATGGCCGTGTATAATCATACTTTTTTGCAAATTTGATGTCTCGGTAATTGTAGATTTGGGTGATTTGGTTTTTTTTTTAATTGTTGAATACAAAATAATTGTTTAATCATTATTTTCCGTGTAAAATTACCGTAAAGTAGTACAAGAAATGCATTATCAAAAAAATGATACTATCACAGTATAGGCATTATGCCTTTTACACAAATTATAGGCCTTTAAAATAGACCCAGGGCCTAGCTATACGTCATGTCGTGTCCAGAACTATAGCAAATAGCCTACTTTAATTAGAAACTGGAAATGCGGTGTTGCTTAGTTTTTATAAAATCAGCTGTAATTAATACACCACAAAACTGAATATTCCCGGGCCGATGTTAAATCAAGAGGTCGATCTGCGGTTTTCCTAAAACGTTTAAGTTATTTTTGCAACATGTCAAAAAGAAAACTCCCCAAGATGATGTAGTAATATAGGCACGATTCGATTTTATAAGACACCGAACATTTGTTACTGCTAATTATATAAAAAATAACGAATAATTTATATAAAAAATACCGTACCTGTCTCATTTGTGAAATAAAAATATTTTAAGTGCATTGAGAATGAAGTACAGTACTGAATATAACAGGATGCATTTCATTGTGTGGGAACGTATACCCACTATGCCTACCAGAGTAAGGGTTATGCCTTATTGTTTCATATTTCTAACTATAGACTACTAATTCCATTGTAATAAAAAAAAAAAGTTAAATCATAATCATAATTACGTACCATAACACTGTTGTTAGCGGTTAACTTTGGAGTTGAGGGACTGCGCATACAACAACTGCTCACATGGGGAGTGGGCAGACCACTGTCCATTCCCATCACCGGTCTTAAGGGTGACCAAAGAGTTCCTCAAACAACTGATTCAAAGATGATTTGGTTAGCTTATCGAGTTGGCCTCAATATAAATATCCAGTGGGTGGGTGCTTGTTGAGTCTCCGCGATTTGAGTCCTGTGTAGTGGGATGGGAGGACCTGCTAGGGAACTGAGTCGTAATCGCTTCGTCGGTCAGAGTTTGTAAGAGTCTTCGTCGGTCACAGTTTGTAAGAGTTACTCATCCAGAGATCTGAAACTCTTAATACCCAATGTTTGAATGACAGTTCGGCAACAACGAACCGCCTACCACGGCCTCTGATTGGCTAACAGTGTCCTCACCGCTCGTGAGTTGTGAGACAGTAGTACAATACATCGTCTTCTGATCGCAACCATTCAATTAACCCATTGAATTTGGACGTCTGTTATTTAAGCAGTCACTTCAGTTGTAGTAATATTAACAACAAAACAGGAATGTACAGATATGCTTGTATTGCTGTAAGAGTTCCAAAGCCTATCCCACATCAAGCTAGTATTGGCCTTAACACCCATCTATGCTGATGCTAACGAACCCACAAAATACAGAGCACAGATTATTTCAGCTCCAGTAGGCCCGAAAAACGTGTTCACTGGATGATACAAGACGGTGTTGTACAAAACCATAGACGCAGAAAAATAGAATAGTGTAGGTTGAAAAAAATAAACACAAACACTAAATTCAAACAAGAGTCCCATTCTATCAAACACTTACGAACAAGGGTGTCATGTATCAGTGAAAATATAACAACCAAATGAGGTAACGAAAAACATTTCCTATTTTTTTAAAAACAAATATTTTTCAAAAGAGTAGCAAATGTCTGTTTCCGTTGCCGACGCGGGTCCGTGTATCAGATGTCATATACTTTTCTTCTAAGTAAATGTACTAATGAAATGGCATTTTTCAAGGTGAAGATTTTGTCTAAAAATATTGATGCAAGGGTCGGATATAACAAACAACGTGTTAATTGTCAAGGAACACATTGTTCTTGTCAAGTTTTACGTTTGCGGTTGTGCGAATTGAGTAACGGAAAACAATGCTTGTAACACTTTTTGAAGATTACAAAACGGATAGGTCTGCTACCAGTAGGTGTTCTCACACGCTTACCCATCAACACGAAATTATTTAGTCGAACCATGGGAGGAACTGTGAGTAGGGCGCAGGGATCAGTGCGATACTGATAGGCTTTTAGGGAAATATATGCATGCCGAGATTATTAAATGAAATATAAGATACAATTATATTTTATTGTTTGAATAAACACAATTCTGACAAGAGAATGAAATATCGATAACGGTACTGTGTAGAAATAATTATTTGATTATTAGGCCTATTGTAGCCTTTATAAATTGAATTATTAAAAAGGTTCTATAGGCCTATAATTTATCTATCAGTCTAGATTACAAAGCATTTTCCCGGTTCAGTATCCCGCTATCATTACCGTACTATGGAAATAGGCCATCGAAGAAACAATAAAAAGCAAAGTTCATCATGCTTTCCCTTTGTGACAGTTAAAGATGTAACTATCAGTCAAAACGACAGGAATATACCTTAAAAGAAATTCAAATAAAATTTTGAATAACTCTCTTGAAAGATCGAATAAATTATTAGGCCAACAAGAAACATATCGAAAAACGCCTAGGCCTAGAATTATTACCGTTTTATTATTATTATCATCATTATTATATTATTATTAATGATAACAATATTATTTTACTGTAAATGGTATGTTGTTATAATCGTTACAATTTATCACAGTACAATTGTATAGCTACGTATATTTCTTATAATTATTAATATAAGTATTAGGCCTATAGACCTAATTATGTTTATAAAAATACATAGCGATGTGAAACCAAGTGTAAACGTGCCAGGCCTCCTAAAAAAGTATCATCATAATCAGCATCATCATTATGATGATTATCACCATCATCTTCGTTATTATTACTGTATTATTATTATTATTATTATTATTATTATTATTATTATTGTAAGGTCTCTTATGACAATTTCATTAAAAAGCAACAGTGCGTGTTGTATATTATTATTAATGGTAACAATTTTATTATTTTATTGTAATTGTTATGTTATTATTGTTACTAATAGGCCTATCAGAGTAAAATGTTATAGTTCATTATAATATTTATTAATATAATTATTATAATTACCATTTTAAAAGTACATTCTAAAAGTTCTTACAGTAGGCATAACTGGTTTTTTTTAAAATAATATTAATTATGCCTATATATACATATATATATACTATATACATATTTATATAGGCATATATATATATATTTATACCTCCTGCTACCGGTAGATCATATTTTTTGTATTTTTATACTCTAGATGAGGTGTGTGCTTTTTTCTGTAATGTATTTTAAGAATCTTTGAAACGATCACTACAACACAAGATTTTCTCTCAATAATTAGGCCTATATATTTAGTACTAATTGTTTATCAGCAATTAAACGTTTTCCAGGATATTTTACTAGGGTGTGCAATTTTGGCATAAACTTCGTATTAATCTTAAAACTAAGCTTACACAAGCTGTTTTAAGCCGCGGGCACATAGGCCTACACTTTGCTAACGCATTTGGCGCTTTCGTAAACCCGCCGTCCCGGCACTGAGCCACCGTGCTAAATATTATATAGTTTCTATGCATGCGCTAGAATTGTGTGTCCCACAAACGCGATGACATTGAGAATGTAAGGCGTATAATAGAGGCGGGCGCTAATGGATCATTTTTAGTGACGATCCACTCAGACCGACAATCAGAACGGCGTCGCGTCATTGGAATCGTCGGCCAACGTCCGCACAATCGTCGTACGATGTACCGGTAGTGTGTGCCTAGCTTTGAATACAGCCTAAAAATGTCTCTAGTCTTTATGCTACTTAACTTCCATTGCCGTCCACTTCCTAGTCTAATATTGTATGTGATCTTCAGAGTTTTTATTGTATATTTACCAATTCATTATTCCATATTTATATTCAGCTTTATTCTAGGATTTTATATATCTTGTATAATTTTTACTTCTTTATTAGGCCTATTATGAATGTGTACTATTTTTCAAATCTGTTAAAGGTGGTTATACCTTTAGACCTAATTTCTGTTAGTTCATTGGAAGAACTTACGATAGCCTTCCATGCTATCACCTATGTTATTTGGTTTATAATTGTCTATATTATTTCATGTTAAGATTTCATAGAAAATTTGATTTTAATTAATTGTCGTTTTTTGTTTTTTTTTATTGTTTGTTTGGTTTTTTTTGGGGTTTTTTTTTATTGTTTGTTTGGTTTTTTTTGGGTTTTTTTTTTTTTTTTTGTCTTTACATGAACGCTTCTCGATGTTAATTTCAATGACAATAATAGTACCTGACTACGAATCACGTAATGTAGGCCTACCTCATCCTTCCCCTTGATACGGTTTTGGTACCATAAACTTCGTCGTTGCGTTTCTATATCATCATCATCATCATCATAAAAATCATGGCCTACTCATAATTATTTCGAACCTCCAAAATCAAAATGTTGTTCGATAGCGATCAATCATAAATTTTTTAATTGTTTTTATTTCTATGTATACTGGTCTATTTTACAGAGTTGATATCCGGCGCACGCCGAAGTGTGAATTACATAACGATCGGCATCGGTTACTTTATAGCACGCGACAACGTAATAGGCCTAGATACGAATGATGGGCCTATCTCCACGCGACAAACCATTGTGTCGAGTGACTACTTAATACAAGTGGATAATTAAGTGGCTCATTAATCAAGCCAATTAAGGGTCAGATGACTGATTGACGACTTGAAAAATGATTGGCCCACTGGGGATCCGTAGACCGCCTTACCTTACCTTTGCTACCATTTATTTTTATTATCGCCTAACAATAACAACAAATTGTACTTCAGAATCAAGTAGTAAATAGATAAGAATAGAAAATAAATTTGCCTACAATCAGTTAGGCCTCTGCACTGAATCAACTTTTACTAGTGGCCTTACTGCCAGGTTCCGGAGGAAAACATTTTTTTTAAGACACAAAAGCTTATTTGACAAAAAAAAAACAAAAAGAAAAAAAAAAAAAAACTTGTGAGCTGTTAATGAGATACAAATTAATTGAATATTTAAAAACTGGGGTGAAAGGTGGAAAAAGGAGAGGTTATGCCCCTCATTTTCCCAGAATTTAAATATTCAAAAATCTGTATCATTGACTGCTTCCAAATGTTTCGCCTTGCTTTAAGAGAAAACAATTATTAGGCCTGCAACCTCCATGGGCCTACGAGTGAGAAGGCTGTATCACCCGTTGTCGCCGCTTCAGAATTTACTTCAATTTAGAATCACATTGTTCGTTTGTTTCGACATCGTGTTTTGCGAAGTCTGTGTACTTAATCGCAAAGGCCAAGGTTAACCCATGGAGGCTCATTTTTATCCCCCGTTATAAAAAACAAAAACAATCCCCCCCCCCCAAAAAAAAATACCCAAAAAAAACAAAAACAAAATCCCGATGCAAGCATCGGCTAAGCAAGGACTTGTCCTTTGGGCTAAGTCTTTAGGGCGGTCGGAGCAGCAGCGTGAGTCGGGTTCGATTCTCACTCTAAACACATGTTATTGTTTCTATCTATTAACGGCTATGTGGGTACTCCGTAGGTCGGGCACTCACTGCCTCTTACGACCGTCGTACGTCCGTCGCACAACGAATACAACGTTAACTGATTGTCGGTGGCAGTCTGAACGGATCATCATTAAAAACGATTCGTTGCGCCCGAGTCGTCGAGTTGTGTTCTCCATGGAGTCGCTTCGGCCGACAACCTTCTCGGGCGCAGAGTGAGTGCCGGCTTTATGAATGCCAATGCACTGATTGTTGAAGTGTTATTAACGAATAAACCCGGCAGCGGAGTAGGTTGGTCTAGACCTACGTGTTCCAATGAGCCCCCTCCCCCCCCCCAAAAAAACCGTTATTGTGAGGCGCTACCGAACAGCATGTAGGCTATATATTTACGGGTCGTCACACGCCCTCACCCCCCCCCCCACCATACAAGTTTGTTCTCCGTCCCCTTTGGGAGCTCCTATGAAAAATAAACTAGGCCCTAAGCCAAAATTAGACATGATGTTTTTTTTATTGCCTCGTTTTATCTCCCCTTCTTAGCGCCAACCACTCCCAATTTCCCCCTTCCCCATTAACACCACCCAACGCCAATACTATACACCAGTGC